GCTCCCAATGGCAAAGTGACTATGCAGATGGTCACAGATGCCCTTATGAACGAAGAAGCCCGAAGAAAAGAAGCCGGGACTGAACAATCATATGCCTTCGTGTCAGAAACCAGCAGACGAGGGGGAGGCAGAAATGGAGGAAGAAGTCGAGGTCGAGGTAGAGGCCAAGGTCAAAACAGAGGAAATTCTCAAGTTCGCGGCAGATCATAAGAGAGAGGTATGTCCTTTGAAAACAGTACTTGGTTTGAAGGATATTGCAATTACTGTAGTAATTATGGGCACAGAAAAAGAGATTGTAGAAAGTTTCTACGAGAGCAGCCACAGACGAGTCAAAATTCTAGCCAAGAAGACGGTGAGACCATGGTTAGTTTGTCATCAGACGTGTGTCTTGTTACACATGGTGAACAAGAATGTTTACACGTAGGTACTCATGATGTTGAGTGGGTGATTGATACAGCCGCATCATTTCACGCCACTCCACACCAGAATTTATTCACATCTTATAAGTCCGGGGACTTTGGAGCTGTGAAGATGGGAAACACCAGTTTCTCGAAGATTGTTGGCATTGGTGATGTGCACATAACAACCAATGTCGGATGTGCACTTGTTTTAAAAGATGTTCGACACGTTCCGGATCTTAGATTGAATCTTATCTCCGGTACAGCTCTGGATCAACAAGGATATCTTAACAGATTCAAAGAAGGTACGTGGAAGTTATCTAAAGGTTCCTTGGTTGGTTCAAGAGGCCATATTTGTGGTACTCTGTATAAAACTCATGCAAAGTTGTGTCATCCGAGTCTCAATGCTGTTGAAGAAGAGATATCACCAAACTTGTGGCACCGGAGGTTAGGCCACTTAAGCGTGAAGGGATTGACAACTCTTGCTAGGAAGGAAAGGATTTCCATGGGCAAAGGTGTTGCCTTAGATCCATGCGAGCACTGTCTATTCGGGAAACAACACAGGGTTTCCTTCAGTTCTACCAGGAAGAACCATTCAGAGTTACTCAGTCTTGTACACTCTGATGTATGCGGACCCATTGAAGAGGAGTCACTTGGAGGAAGTAGATATTTCGTGACATTCATTGATGATGCATCACGAAAGGTATGGGCTTATTGTTTGAAGAGTAAGGATCAAGTGTTTGATCGCTTCAGATTATTTCATGCCATGGTAGAAACAGAAACAGGGAAGAAGCTGAAGTGTCTACGTTCAGACAATGGAGGAGAGTACACTTCCCGAGAGTTCTCAGCATATTGCGCCGCATATGGAATCAGACATGAGAAGACGGTTCCACGAACTCCGCAACACAATGGTGTAGACGAAAGAATGAATCGGACCATTATGGAGAAAGTTCGTTGCATGCTGAGTATGGCTAAACTATCTAAGCCATTCTGGGGTGAAGCTGTGCTGACAGCTTGTTATCTTATAAACAGGTCACCTTCTGTTCCTTTAAACTTTGAAGTGCCAGAGAAGAAATGGTCAGGAAGAGATGTTTCTTACTCTCACTTGAAAGTGTTCAGGTGCAAGGCATTTGCACATGTGTCCAAGGAGTTGAGACAGAAGCTTGATCTCAAGTCAAACCCATGCATCTTCATCGGGTATGGTGATGAAGAATTGGGATACCGGTTGTGGGATCCCGAAGTGAAGAAAGTTGTACAAAGCAGAGATGTTGTATTTCATGAAAACGAGTTTCATGGGTGTGTTCCAATAATCCGCCAACAACATACTCCAGAAGACGAAGTGCCTGTATCATCAAACATTCCTCCCAGCGACGAGTAGATGTATGATACTACTGAACAAGAGAATGATGGTTCAGTAGGTGATGATGATACTCACAGTGATGATATTCCTCAGCAGGGGGAGCCTTCATCTAAAGACGAAGCTGAAGGTACTCATGTTCGACGTTCTATGCGAGGCATAGTTCCACAGAGAAAGTATTCCACATCCGAATGGATACTTGTTGCCAGCGAGGGGGAGCAAACGAGCATCGCAGGAACGAGAGAAATAAAGAAAAAGGTGGAGGGGGAGATTTGTAGGTATCTTCCACCTTCTTGCTTGGAAGTTGCCAAGAGACACCTTAACATGGAGGCACCTTCTTGGAAAGAGCTCTCCAACAAATAGGTGTGGGAGAAGATATGGAGATACCTTGGAATCTTGGATGCAACTTCCTCTTGTCTCCAAACTAGTCCTATAAATAGAGTGCTCCATTGTTGTTCATAGTATCAGTTTAGAAAGTGAGAAAAGTGTGTGAAGAGTGAAATACACTTAGTGTAGAAGTGTATTGGTGAGGATTGGTTTTTTTGTAATAGTTGAGTGTGAGAGTTTGCTCCTCCTATTGTAATTCTGTTCTTGATATTGAATAGAAGAATTTTCCAATCCCAACATAATATTCTTATCTTAATCTCATTTTACAATTGAAAGTCTTAATTTAAAGGGCCATTCTTGATGCACACAAAATGTATGTGTACAATTGTCCACTGGTCCATATCCACATGCAACTCTATAAAATTTCCCAAAACTAATACTGCATCATCAAAGTTTTTTTTCCCAAATACTCCGTAAGAGGAATAGAGCTTCTTCACACATTTGTTGGCGTGAGGACCCGCACGCCTTTGACTGCAGCGCGCAGCTACTCCAGCTAGGAAAGTAGAGAATGAAAAGAAAAAATTAAAAGAGAAAAGAGAACCCACATACTTACGTACAGGGTGGGTCTAGACGTATTAATCCCATACCCCTCTCAAATGGGTCCTTAATAATATGGAGTGACTTAAAAAAATTAATAGTGTGTACAAAATAATTAGTCTGTAAAATTATTTATTCACTTATTAATTTATTTATTAATCAATTATTTTTAAAGAAAATCACCTATATTTATATTATTAGTTTCAAGATAGTTACATCAATCAAAGAAAACCATCCCTCACACCAATTAACTTCTCCAACTATGACTGTAAAGTGTAAACCCCCTACGATTAAATATAGAATTGATCATATCTAAAAGAGCATCACGAATAGTTAACCACTGCTCTTATAGATCCGTATACTTCTAACGACATAATAATAAACAAACTTTTCAATCAACCCGATAAACCTTACAACAAAGACTTAACAAGAAAACAAACAACAAAAGAATAATAAGCAATAGGATAAATTTTTCGAACCCTAACACCTCGTTCGACCGATGACGGTGGTTCGGGAGGAGGCCGGATCATCAGTACCACTATATGATTGATCTTCCATTACCGACCAAACTCTAGTCCCCCATATCCATCTCCTTGTGCTTTCCCACATCTACATACCCACGCCACTATGCGGATAGCCTTCCTGCTCTCTCATTACGCAGCGCCGCCACATCGCGCGCGTACGCCTTGACCTTCCTTCGTCCCATGCCAACCTGAGCCTGGCCGGTAACACCCCGTAGCCCCCCAAGAGATCTTCAAATCGCGGCAGCTATGGACACCCCAAAGCAGATCCACATCGTCATCGACCTCCCAACATCCAAACGAAAAGAAATCGATCCACTCCAGCACTGTCGACATCGAAGCAATCGGCAAAACAACAGTGAAAGAAACTCGTCAAACAATTAGTCAACACCAAACTACAAACCCTAATGAGTAATGAGGATTACCATAGCTCCAAAGAGATTATTTATTTATTAATAAATTAAATAAATATTACGAATTTAAATACGAAGTATTATTATGGGAGAAAATAGCTAGTTAGGTCGTACATAAATTATGAAAATGAGAAAGCTTTAGTCAGATAATGGTGTATAACTGTATATATCCATATGCAACTCCATCAAAATTTTCCAAAAGAAAATCATAAGACCCAAAAGTAAAAAATGGTATGGCCAGGGTTCATTCAGAGGGCCAATTTGTAAATATAATTTGTACCCGTCCAAAGGTTCAAAACTTTCCAAACAAAAGGTGGAATAGTGCTCCTCCACACATTTGTGGGAGTGAGGGCCCGCACGTCTGTCACTGTAGCAGCTAGGAAAGTAGAGATGGCAATTTCGGCCGACCCGTTGGATACCCGCACCGAACCGATTTGGTCAAACTGGGGAAAACCGGTTTGACTGGGGAATGGGTATGGGGCGGGGAATATCCGAATTTTTTAAATGGTTAATGGTGCGGTTATGGCTCTATACTAATCCGCCCCGTTATCCGCCTCGAAACTGCCCCGTTCACTAATGGTGCGGGCACCCACACCGTTACCCGATCCGTAACATTATTAATGAATTATAACTTTTTATATATAAGAATAATAAGTATATATGTTAAATTGTGTATACTAAATAGTATATATCATTTATTAAAAAAAAAATAGTATATATCATATAAATAATGCTAAAAAGTATACTACTTTTTAGGCCTAAAACTAAATATAGGCCTAAACCTGTTTTTGGAATTTGGATTCTGGGATAATTACTACCTTTTTATTATGTTACAAGAGATATTAGGTGCATGTCATACTAATGGATTTAGGGCAGTCTGCTTGATTGCTTAAATATTTACTTTTGTATGTTTTAGGGTGCTTTGAATATATAAATAACAAGTAGGATTAGAAATTGGTTATTTGTTTTCCAAAAAAATGGTTATTTGGCATCATTTGGGGAAACGGTTACCCGTGGATAAACCGATTCCCCGTTGGGTCGGGTACGGTTCAAATAAAAATTACCCGAACGGGTAATGGGGCGGTTTTGGGGCAAACATTTATCCAACGGGGCGGTTTCGGTTTTATATGTACCCGTCCCCAATCTGCCCCGTTGCCATCACTATAGGAAAGTAGAGAATGAAAGAAAAGAAAAAATTAAAAGAGAAGAAAAGAGAACCCACATACTTATAGGGTGGGTGTAGACGTACTAATCCCATACCCAAATGGGTCCTTAATAATACGGAGTGACTTAAAATTAATACCGAGTAAAAAACAAGGGCCCTTTGCATTAAAACTGTATACATTTCTACGTATGTAAGACTCAATATATACTTGTATCTTTTTTTTGTTTAAGAAAAATAAAGTTTTGCTTTCCTGATATTTTATTTTTATCTCTTCTGTTGTGTTTCTGCTACTTCTGTTCTTTCTGGTAGAGTATAGTGATGGGGAATTGCGCTGTTTTTTCCGCAAGAGTTGACGCCACTCAGAGCTCCCACATATCTTCTGGTATATCTCCCTTCATTCTTCTTCAACTTTGTGTTCCCCTATTTTTTGAGCTTTCTGTTTCGGAACAAACATTCCGTTTTTTAACTCTTGGGGGTTAGAAACATTTGAAATACTACCCTGTCCCGTTGTACATTATCACATTTAAGTTATTGGGTCATTTGGGGGTAGCTCACTTCGTATAGTAGAAAGAGTGTGCCACAAGGGAAAGATTTTGGGTTCAACTCTAAACAATGGTTTGGGATGAAACCGCACTTTCTTTCCATCAGAGTGTGATTAAAGCTTAATTTACATCTTCTAGATATTTGGTCTTCCAGAATGGGGAGTCATTTTTTTTTATCAAATTTAAGTTAGGGGTGAAATAAGAAATATAAAAAGTTATTCAGAGGAAAGAGAAATAAACATAATCACAAATTATTTACTTCAAAGAGAAAGGGACAAAATTATCGAGTCAAACATAAACGAAAAGTTGGCAAAGTTTATTAGAGCGGAGGAACTATCAGTTGTTAAACTACGGAGTATTATATAAGAACTTAAATTATTCCATGTATTTGAATACGTAGTATGAAGTATGATATCAAGCCAAACTGGCCCAAACTGCTCCTCATATTTTAATATCATAACCAAGGTTTTAAATTGCGGTTGCGGTCGTTGCGGTTGTGGACTTGTGGCCGTTGCGATGCGTATTGCGGCCGGTGAGGCGTGAATTAATTTCAAAATCGCACCAGAAAGAATGATGGCAAGCGGATGCGTTGCGGTATGTTGCAGCACGTCGCGGTCGATTGAGGCCTATTGCGGGATGTTGCGGTTTCGTCGCGGTTACATTGCGGTTTTGTCGTGGTTACGTTGCAGTTTTGGCCGTGATTCCAAATCATAAGGGTGTTGCGGGCTGATGCGGTTGTGGTGCCCTCGGCAGCCGCAATATTGCGGCCGCAATTGCGGTTGCGGTCCGCAATTTGAAACCATGATCATAACAAGCCAAACTAGTTATATATGCATAAAGTATACTCCATGGTGATAAAATATATTCCCTCCGTTTCATTTGAGTTTGTCAAACTTAACTTTTCTAGTTCATGATATCTAATTTTGACCGATTATATAATTATATACAAAAGTGTTGATAATATGAAAATGATATGAAAAAGTTCTTTGTCAAAAATACTATCTTAAAAGTATAAATTTACGAATATGTAGTATTAAATTTTGCAAACATATACGAAGTATTAGTTAAAAAAATTGGTCAAAGTTTTCATCTTTGACTGGAAAAGTCAAAGAGGACTAACTAAAACAGGACGGAGGTAATAGTACTTAGTATTTCTCTTATAATTTTGTCAAAGTTTATTTTTCATCCAAGTAGCAAATTTCCAAAGTTTATCACTTTAAGATGGCTTTGCCGGCAGTGACAGATTTCCAATCAAATTTTGAGTTTTCAAAATTTATTTATCATTAAAATATTAACCAATAATAATAATAATGTTTGATCTAGTTGAATATATGTGACGTTTTCAACAACAAAAAGACGGTAAGTAAGATAAAAATGGAAATATTATCGAAAACTACACTATATATATTAGTACATCAGTTCTATATGTACCTTTCATTTTAGTTTCATTTTTTGGGTGTCCACATGAACTCTTTGAATAAATGGGATCCGTCTCTTTTTTGTGGGTTTGTTGTCCGTTTCCTTTTGAATAAAGAATTGTTATTTTTGTTAATTTTGTATACTCTACATAAACTTCAATCGCACAATTTTTACTATAACTTGAACTGGTTCAGTTATTAGACAAACAAATGGAGTCATGTAAAAAATCTTAACTCTAAATATAGATCAATACTTCATAAATTATTTGTAGGACCAATTTGGAACCGAACCAAGCTAGGCCATAATGGGTGGTGCACCGGTTCTTGTTTCTAAAGTCTCACCCTGCTTATACTTTATTATTCTACATGTTAATTGTATTGGCCAAATTTTAATAAAAAAGGGAAAACTGTCAAATAGGTCCTCGAACTTTCATAAAAAGGTCAATTAAGTCCTTCTATAGGGGGTTCTGTCCGGCCGTCGCGATTTGGGGCAGTTCCCGGTGGATTTTTTTATGAAATGTTTTGAGCATCTTATTCACCAAGTCTAGTTTACTCATACCAAATTTCAGCTAAAAATTCAATCGGAAACACATTCAAATTAATTCTTGAAGATAACTACGCATTTTTGCGTTCTCGAATTAATTTGAATAAGCTCCCGATTAAATTTTTAGCTGAAATTTGGTATGAGTAAACTAGACTTGATGAATAAGATGCTCAAAAAATTTCATCAAAAAATTCCACCGGGAACCGCCCCAAATCGCGACGACCGGCTAGAGTCTCCTATAGAAGGACTTAATTGACTTTTTTATGAAAGTTTGAGGACTTATTTGACAGTTTTCCCTAATAAAAATAATGACTTATTTCTAACAAAAATAAAGATGGTAGTTTAGGGGAAATGTGACATTTTAAGTGCAGTGAACATAGTAGTACTACTTATATTCCATTTTACGTGTCTTCTTTTGGTTTGACACAATTATTAATAAAGTGGTTGAAAAAGTTAAAACTATAGTTGAAGTCTCTAAATAATAAACTGCAATGTTATGAATCACATATATTTTTTTTCAAAAAGGAAAACAAGACACCTATTTTGGAATAACCTAAAAAGAAAAGTAACAAATGTAAAATTGGATGGAGGACGTAATATTTAATAATGATTTTAACGTTTAATTTTTACGTTTAAGTGATCATAACACTAGTGATAGTAATTTTAGTCATAGTTTTAACAGTAAATTTCATTTCATTATATTTATGAAAAACCCTACTTCTTTTAATATTATGGTCTGTATTTAGCTTTAAATTTCCGTCACTTTTATTCATTTATTGAGCTTTTCTCTGTTTTTAAATTATCCTTCCTATGTTGTCCAAGTCTACTGGCCGGACCAGTGGTTAGTCGCAACCATGTAGTGTCGGTGACATTAATGCCCTCTTCCTACTTATAGGCTCCATTGAAAGTCAATGTGGTATAAAAAGATAGAAAATGTTTCAAAATAGGAATAAAGCATACAAAGGTTAGTAAAATATTACTAACTCTGTCCCACAACATTGTGATAATATAGGCTCCATTGACATTAATGCCCTCTTCCTACTTATAGGCTTCATTGAAAGTCAAAGTTACTAATATTGTGACAATAAGGGGTGACATAGTTATCAAAAAAAGTGAATTTGTGTTATTGATATTGAATTAATAAAATAAGAATAAAGTAAAAATGATTTAAGTAAAATTACACAAATTTTTTCAAGTTTGGTATAAGATTATTTTATTGGGACAGAACAATAAGAAAAGATGAGACATCCTAACAAGAATGAAAGAGTATTAAATATACTAGTATTGTCTTTGGAAAGTGTCTTATTTTATCTTTTTAAGTTTTGAGATTAAAAATAAAGTTTCAATTCACTATATAAATCGTCTTGTGAAAAGAAAATATCTAGTACCTTTATGAATGTGCTTGCACTTCTATATATAATACGAAGTACTACGTATTCCGTAATATCTACTCTTTTATCATTACAGATAAACTGATGAGATCGGATTAATTTAAACCAGTTAATATTAGGGGTTAGGTCATGGATAATAATAATTAAAAAGATTTGGACAAATATAAGACATCTTTCCATGATTACCAAAAAAGAGACTCATCCGTGTGATCAATTAGTAAGTGTGGCACTACAAAAAAAGTGCACATGGAGTCATGGACGGCACATGAACCATTTTTTTTTGCGATGACAGCATAACTGTCGTTAAAAACACCATTAACCACACATTTTTTTATTTACCACACACAAAAATGTGGTAAAAGCTTAGAGACGACAGTTTTTAATCGTGACAAATGTTTTTACCACAGCTGTTGTGCCGACGCACCTAAAACTGTCGCAAAACTGTCGTAAAAACATAAGGAGGAACATTTACGACAGTTTTGCGTCAGTTTTACGTGCGTCGCCACAACAGCCGTGGTAAAAACATTGGTCACAGTTAAAAACTGTCGTCTCTGAACTTTTACCACAGTTTTGTATGTGGTAAATAAAAAAATGTGTGGTTAATAGTGTTTTTAACGATAGTTATGCGGCCATCGCAAAAAAAAAATATTGATCTATGTGCGGTCTATGTGCACTTTTCTTGTAGTGTGGGAGGAAAATATCAATTATGCCCTATTGCCCTTGCCTAAATAATACGGAGTAGGGTCGGGCAATAATCCCGGTCCCGTTGTCCCATTCCGGTATATCCCGAAACCGTACCGGTGTTGTCCCGTTCCGTTTGGGTCTCATTAATTTTATCCCGCACCGGTCCCGTACCGGTTTAAAACGGGATGGGACCGGGACATTGGAAGGTTATCCCGAACCGTCCCGTTGTCCCGTTTGTAATAACTATGTAGATTTTGTAGCATGTGACTAGTTTGTAATGTCAACTCAAAAATAAATGATAACATGTTTTTAGTTTTTCAAGCCCAACTTTTAAATTAAAAATAATACCTAACATAAATATTTACTAACATAGGTTTTTATCTCACTTTATATATCTACATATGAGTATCTCACAACTAGAACACATGATTTTGAATAAATAAACTAATTCATTCTTGCTTTGTTTTAAATTTAAATTTCAAAATTTGCTAAACCTAACTAAAATCTAATACGTAGTAGCTTTTAGCTTGTGATGAAGAATGAAGATCAATTAACCTTTAAAATGTTAATATTTTGGTGCATGATACTTTAGAAATGCTAGTATTTATTAATTACAAATGATTATTTTTTGTTAGTTTGGGACGTCTCGAACCGTCCCGAACCGTTCCGAATCATCCCCGTCCCGATTTAAATGGGACAATACTAGGACAAAGGCTTGTCCCGTACCGTCCCGTCCCATTATTATTAATTGGGACGGGACCGGGATAACCCTAATCCCGAACCGTCCCGACCCATGCCCACCCCTAATACGGAGTAATATGCTGCAAACCACATAAGATTCTTTCCACCAATTAAATTTGGATTGCCTACATAACCTTCTTCCACCAAAAATTCGACTTTTTTTTTTCGTGTCCCATCAGTTATAATTACTCGCTCAACCGTTTATATTATAAACTTTATAATGTCATTCGTCTCATCAGTTACAATTACTCGCTAGTATAGTTCCGTGCCGCCAGTTATGATTATCCGACCCGTCCTTCAGTTACAGTTACTAGACTCGTCATCCAGTTACCGTTACCCAACTCGTCCAGTTACAGTTACCCGACCATCGTCCTGTTACAGTTACCCAACCAATTGTTCAGCTACAATTACCTGACGAGTCGTCTAGTTACAGTTACCCGACCGTCGTCGGGTTACAATTACCCAATACGCTCAATTATCCGAACAGTACGGATTTGACCGGTGCAAGCCACCACTGCCGGGTAACACCACCTCCTGCCGCCTGCCGCTGCCGCTGCCTCACACCCTCTTGCAGGTCCGCTGCCTTGACAATCCCATTCCCAGACCCCATTCCCCTGCAGAACCGCTGCCACAACCCCGCCCCATCCCCTGCAACCACCTCATCCCACTCCCATATTGGACCTCCAACCACTGCACACCATCGCCCATCCCCAGCCCTTAGCTTGCACAACCATAGCCCCACACCGGCACCTAGCAATCGCCGCATATCACCACTTCATCTTCATCCATCCCCCAGCCCTAGCAGACCACCGCCCTCACCAAAAAACCCTAGCCGCCACGCTGATTTGAAATCGTACTCTTCTTCTAACCCGAGACTCTTCACCGCCATCACAGACAGAAATTGAGGAGAAGAAGAGGATCGAGCAGTGGACGGCGACCTGGAGGCGGAAGCGGCGACCTGGAGGCGGAGGCGGCGACTCGGAAGTAGTGACCAGAAGACGGAGGACGGGAGGAGAGGCTGGGACCTGGATTTGGAGGCTGCGCACATCTGTATTTGGAGGCAGTGGGAACGAAGTACACATGGGAATTGTGAACGATACGGGAGAATTGGGAGACATGGGTTTGTTTAGTTTAGAGGGTATTTATGTCTATTCAGTTTTATTTAATCACTTTTCCGTCCAAATCAAATTAAAAGACTGTTTGGGTTTGCTTAAAAAAAAGCGCTTTTCAGTTTTTGACTTAAAAAATGTTGAAAATAGTGTTTTCAAATTACAGCTTCTGCTTAAATTAATCACTTAAAGGCTAAAAGCTGGAAGCAGGTAGAAGGGTGCTTTATACTGCTTTTCACGTTTTCTATTACACAAAAAGTACTTATTTTACCAAACACTACCAACTTTTACTTTTCCAGAATCACTTTTTCTCAAACACTACCAATTTTTACTATTAATCACTTTTCCCAAAATCACTTTAAAAAATCACTTTTTGATGTTAATATTAAGTGTCACCAAAATAGGGCTCAAGAATTCAAAAAATATATATACACGTCATTGGAAATGAGAAAAAAATACGAATCTAAGAAAGTTAAATAAAAAATCTATTTTTGATGAATTCTTTTAAGCAAATGATGAATAATTTTAATTTAATGAATTATTTTAATGTAATATTTAATGTTCTTTGTGTTTTGAATACGAAGCTTCTGAAGCTTCTCAAGCTCCCAAGAAAAGAGGAGAGTCCTCTAGCGTGTCTTCTGCTTTAACGCTGCCTTCATCATCATCTGGTCAAAAACACAGTGAGGGTAGTAGGCTTCCTACCCCAAGGTCCGAAGAAGAAATATTGCAATCCCCAAATGTGAAAGCCTTCACGTTTCTCGAGCTGAAGAATGCGACCAGAAATTTCAGAAGGGAAGGCCTTCTAGGGGAAGGAGGGTTTGGATATGTATACAAAGGATGGATAGATGAACATACTCTTACCCCTACAAAACCTGGAACTGGTATTGTCATTGCCATTAAGAAGTTGAAGCCCGAAGGCTTTCAAGGTCATAAAGAATGGCTGGTATGGAGTATATATTTAATCTCGTAACTTTTGACTTTTGGCCAGAAAAAACCTTTTGATTTTGTGCACTACCAGATTTGCTCATTAACTAATAAATATGTTCATATTAATGACTTTTTCACTATTTTTTTGAGAAAAATTTGAAGCTGGTCACATCGTTTCCGATATGTTTAGTGTATTCTCCAATTGAAAAGTCATTTAAATAAATAAATTTATTAGTTATACTAGTAAATCTGTCACAAGTAAGTAAAGTTATAAGACTAATAATGACGACAACTTAAAGTAATTACGAGATGAAAAGTAATTATTATGATCAGTTCAAGGACCATCTATGCATAGTACTCTAAATTTCACCTCATATTATCCTCCGTTTTTTTAAGCGCAACATGTTGAATTTTACAGTATTCACAAGTTTTACTTTGACTACATTTTACACTATTATTTTATGAAAATTATTTTTTATAAAAAATATTGTTTAATTCATCTCATTACAAATTTTCAAAATCGGATTTTTAATTTTTTTTTACTAATACAGTTTAAGATATATTTATGGTCAAATATGTGTGTTGACAAATGTGAAATGTTGAATATTGTAAATAAAAAAGAACGGAGGAAGTATATGTTTTGGACACTCAATATAATTTTATGTAAACATTGTGTTTTCCTTTTGTAGACTGAAGTTAATTACCTCGGGCAACTTCAACATCCAAACCTGGTTAAATTGATCGGATACTGCTTAGATGGTGACAATCGGCTCTTGGCTTATGAGTTCTTGTCTAAAGGCAGCTTGGAGAATCATCTTTTTCGAAGTACGTTGTTCCTAGACTATCCTTTCATCTTGTTAATTCGTACTCCATATGTCCCATAATTTTTAGTCGTTGTTTGGCTTTGCGGTCTCCTAGGCGGCATACATTTGACCGTAATTATCTATAAATATATACCTACATAACTACATAAGTACATTAAATAATTGTTTTGGAATAAATATTGTTAATTTTGGGTAATTAGCAGCAAAAGTTTAACAAGTTTGACTCAAAAATCAAAGTGGGACTTTAATAAAGGGATGGAGGTAGTATAATATACGTAGTATCATGCAAATTACAACAACCAAGTGCGTTTGAACTTTGAACTAGAAATTATAAAGATTAAGTCATATGTGTAGAATGTTGAAGTCTCATAACGATAAATTATGAAGTACAGTAATAAAGTTGACCTCTTAGAAGAATGTAACTTTAATTCTTAACAAAGAAATTATAAAGATTATATACCTGAGTATGAGATTAATTTTGTAATTCCATTGTTTGTTGTAAAGGGCAACTGAATATCCTTCTAATTCCTAAAATGCTCAATATTACTTGAGCTTAATTGTAATGTGTTTGGATATCAAATGGCTAGTTAATAATAGTCTTATATTTGGATATATTCATTTATAGGGGGGTCACAACCCATGAGTTGGGCCACCAGGATTAAGGTAGCTATTGATGCGGCTAGAGGCCTTGCTTTTCTGCATAATGCTAAAGAGCCTGTTATATATCGTGATTTTAAGGCAGCTAATATTCTTTTGGACACGGTATGCTTCATTTATTCAACTAATGTAATACAGTAGTACACGCTAATATACGGCGGAATTAATATAAGAAAAATATTGTTTGTACACGTTTTTTGTACATGTCGTTTTACACGCAGGCCGAATTGTTTGTGCATGACATTTTTTTCGTTTTGTGGAGATAATTGTGTTTCACACCAATTTTTTTTTGTCTACCATAGACGAATTTTTTTTGTTAGTGCAGAAAACACTTGCAAGACACAATAATTCTTACTAAATATTTTATCTAAAATCCTACATTTGATTTTATTGTTGCAGGAGTTCAACTCCAAGCTCTCAGATTTTGGTTTGGCTAAGGCTGGCCCGACTGGTGGCCGCACTCATGTGACTACTCGAGTAATGGGTACACAGGGCTATGTAGCACCAGAATATATTGCTACAGGTTTATTACTTCTCTATTTGAATCGGCTTAACAAGTTGCTATATTTTAAGGCACGTTACCCATTATCAAAGGAGGTTAACTAGGGGTAGTTAGGGCCATGATAAGTTTAGAATCTCACTTATTTTTAAAAAACTTTGATTTTAAGTACACTGTACAATAAGATAGATATAAAAATTTATCAGAAAAATTCTTTGTCTTACAGTAAAGGAGTGTATTTATACTTTATACAATTGACAATTGTATAGGACATCACTTTTTACAAGATTCATATATGTGAAATACAAGTACATATACTCCGTATTAATTAGTAATTATAGATAAATAGTAAACTTAATTGTGAGAAGGGCAGAGCGACTTTTGATTATTTAATTTGTAGTCATAGACTCATAGTTAATTAATTTTGAAGTGGAAATCAATCAATATAAAACTGCATTTATATCTAGAAGTACGATTTAATTACATTTGAACTATAATGAATGACAACAAAGTACTCCCTCCGTCCCTAAATGTTGTTCCAATTGCGGATTACGAAGGTTGACTGACGATAAAGTTAAATGATCCCTGTGAAAACTCGGATTATTTTTAGTAAATAAAATTTACATATTCAGAAACTACATTAAACCCGCTACAAAGCCTGCAAAAAATAATTCAACTTTTATAAAATTTTGATATAAAAAGTAAGAGTTTAAGAGTGATTTAAGTTGACCCTCGATAAGCGAAATGGAACTTTTTTTTAGGTACAGAGAGCAACTAAAAAATTTGTACAATGAAAAAACTATGATACATTGGTGACTTGTCATATTTTTTCTATTGTTGAACTATATTAAATTCTTATTGATGTTAAAAGTTCCACGTAAACACACACAACCCTCATGAAAACGTGGTAATTTGATTCGCTCAAAAACCACTCATATACGGAGTATAACTTAAACATAGCCTTCATCAACTTACATTTGACAACCCACAAATATGGTTTTATGTTACAACTAGTGTAGGTCAATGTTTCAAAGTCAGTTTGACAATTGACTGAACTGGTTGAAAATATTACTTATAAAAAAATTATATTTAAAATAAATTTTAATAATTGAAAATGGAAAAGTATATGGGAAAAAGTTAAGATTGTCATTTTCACAAAAATTCATTCCATTGAGCCATATAAAATTAACACGAACCTTATTCACTTTGACTACTGAAGAATTTTGTGCGTGAATTAAAACTTTAGTTGTTGTTTTATAAAACAATTAACTGGTGAGAGAAAGATATAAACCACTAAATAGGTTCTTAAAATGAAATCGAAAGTATGCATATATTTTTGTTGTGCATTCCCATTGAGGAAATAAAAAAGTTGATTCATTTCATCTATATATTGTAACTTCAATGAATACCTTCTAAAACCACTACAGGTAGGTTGACGACAAAAAGTGATGTTTATAGCTTTGGAGTGGTGTTGCTCGAATTATTATGCGGTCGTCGTGCTGTTGACAACTCTAAACAAGGTGTAGAGCAACATCTTGTGGAGTGGGTGAAACCATATATGGAGGATAAGAGGAAGCTGTTTAGGATCATGGACACTAAATTAGGAGGACAATATCCTCAGAAAGGAGCAACCAAAGTTGCAAGCCTTGCTCAAAGATGTCTAATCCGGGAATATAAGCTTAGGCCATGTATGTCTCAAGTTTTGGATGAGCTTCAACAACTTCAAGCCCCAAAAGGCTCTCTTAAGTTCTCCTAGTCGGATACCCAAAACAATACTGATCGACAACGTGTAAGGTGATTGAGGAGGTGTATGTAGCACTACACGAGAGTCTTTTCTCGTTGAGTTTAGCCACACAAAAAAAAATCTATGTGGTTTGGTGATTCGAAATACCATTTTGAAAAATGTAACAAATTTAATACGCTCTTTTGAGAGATTTCTCCATCTTTGTTTATTTTCACTCTCTCTTCTTCATTGTATTAATTTCGTTTCTTTCAAAAAAAAACATTTTCAAGAGGTAGATAGAAGGAATATTGGAAGTAGGTGGTTTAGGGGTGTCATACAAAGTGGGAAGAAAGGATTCAGTCGATGAACTAGAGGAGGATGCAGTGGACTGTGGACATGAAGGAATTGGTTCCGGGAGATGAGGAGTACGTGGCTTTAAGAGTGGGTTTTTTGTTGATGGTCTGGGTAGGTGAATTGAGCTGATCGGTCAAAGGAATGGAGTTAGGGACAGTAGTGGACAATGAGTAAGCGTAGGACAATTGTAAGTTAACTGTGATAAAACTACTACGTATAATTGAGGAATAAGTAATGGGAGAATGCTCAAAAATGACATTAAGGTTATTTACAAAGTTCAGATTGGACACTCAACTTTTGAATGGACCAAATTAACACATATATGACTTATTTGAGTTACATTTGGCCACCCACTAACGTTTTTTTTAACGGTCCTTCTAAAGCTAACAATAATTCTGTTTATCTCTTTTCTCTTCCGATTTAAAGCAACCAAAATAAAAAAATAAATAAATAAAAAAGAAGTTGCTTCCAGCCATTACACATTTTTGAAATATGAACCAAACCCTTGCTTATGAACATCTTGCGCTTAGGTTGAAAATCCCTTTTGCCGCCGGCGGATCTGGTGCAGTAGGTATAATTGGAAAACTTTTCCCCGTTTCTGACCCGAGGTGTTGTTATACCAGCAGAGTGAAGCAACCCAGATAGTCTCGCTCTTCGAGTTATTCTTGAAATTCCTTCGAGGTATTGTTGGAAAAATGTGTGAAAAAATTGCATTAAATGGCTATTTTGGGGAAATTTTCTGAGTGGGGTCCACTTCCGATTTGGGTCGGGTCAAAGTGGTTTCGGATTGTCCTTGTTAAAGGATACAATTCGATATATGGTACGCTCAAAACAGATAACGGGTGAATGAGAAATCGCTTTTCAAAGTTTACCCGTTAGAAGGGAAAAAGGATGGGTTTCTAGTGTGTTAATTTCCCACACCGGAAAACCCAAGGGATTTGCAACCCTTTATAAAGGGACTCTCCCCTTAAGGAGTTAAGATTCCTAAGGGTAAAGGCTCACTCCAGCGCGCAGGGGGGGTGCAAATCAAATCCCGAATTCAGAGAAGAAAAACCGCGACTTGCGTGCGCGGGCGACCTGCGGACCCGAATGTCGTCCAAAAATCTATCTCTCAAGAGATACGATTAATTTTTGTTTTCTTCCCGAAACGTTTAATTTTTTCCCAGCAGCAGAAGTGCTCGGACAGAAGCCTACGGATCAGAACACCTCGTTGGTGTTCTGATGGCAGAACCCCTCATGGGGTATTCTGATGGCCGCCCATCAGAGTTGGGGGTACTCTGATGAACGCGGATCAGAGTTGGGGTCTTTTGATTGGCCTCCGATCAGAACCCCTCCCGGGGTGTTCTGATGGAGGTCTTCTGTCGCGCTTCTGAAACGTTACAACAATTAATGCCCAACGTTCTTATCTTTTAATGCAGCGTTAAATGGACAGTTCATGGACGATTCAATGCCCAACGGACTGGTCATTGATGTCCAACGTTCAGGTCCATTAATTCACTATTTTCACACAACAAATCCTCCTATATAATGGCTGGCAGGTGGTTTGCAACAACACAAGTTCTTACACACGTTCTTACACGAATTCATACACGTTTTAGCTCTAAAAACACACTGCTGGCATTCTGCAAAATCCTCTGTGTTCAGTCTTTGTTCTCGTTCGCTGGAACTTGGGTTTGCGTGCTCAAACACTAGTTCGTTGTCATCGTATCCTGGGAAACTATTGCTGCAACGCTCCTAGCACCGTGGGAGGCAACAAATACGTTTTAAGGACATCGTGCGTAGCACGAGCTTTGACAAATTCTGCTCCATCTCTTTTCTTGTTTTTTTCCGTCATTTTATTTAATTAATTAATTTTAATTAATTTTCTTTATTTTACGAAACACACCCTACACAAACATGATGACATCAATGTGCGTCGAGACTCATATTCAAACTGGGAAGATGAGACTGTTGGGCTTTTGACCGAGGGGCGAAATTCAGTTACCTAATTACCGGCGAGCAACCTCCTTAATTATTATGAAGGACGGCACAAATATTTTGCTCAAACTTTGAGACCAGAAATGTTTAGTGAGTGGCCAATCAATAGACCTAAAATGTGGCTTACGTATTATGAGATCAGAGGGAAATTGACGAAAGGCATCAGACTGGAGAAAGATTCATACGACCAAAACTCATTTATCCACTAAGATGTTTGCCCAAAAGGAAATCAATTTTCTTTTTAAAAAAGGATATGTTTAACAAAGCAGTCGTACACTTTTGCATTGAACAACAGAGACCACAGAAAGAGGAAGATGATAGGTACAGAGAGAAGGGGAGGCGTCAATCTTCCGTCAATGTTAAGAAACACCGTTTAAATAAAATGTGAATGGGTGGCCAAATGTTATCCAAATAAGTGTGTTATGTGTTAATTTGGTCCACTTAAAACCTAAGTGTCCAATCTGAACCTTGTAAATAACCCTAATGTCCATTTTGAGCCTTATCCCATAAGTAATTGAGGCTATTTCCTTTGAATGTTTATCTTAGAGCATCTCCAATGGTAAAATGTGTACGGTGCACACATGGCTTGAGAAATGACCACATAAATATTAGTAAACAAATTCTTTCTCTCCTTATTTGAATGATTTTATACAGTTTTGGTAAGTTTTTCTCCACAATGTCAAGGAGACCGTCTAGATGTTGACATTGTTGTTGACATTGTAGGGAAAAACTTAACAAAATTGTATAAAATCATTCAAATAAATAGAAAGATAATTTATATGCTAATATTTATATGACTATCACTCATGTCACATGTGCACCGTGAACATTATAGCATTGGAGATGCTCTTACAGTTCGAAGAATGCATCCATGCATTTATACATATTCACGTACGAAGCTATCTAAGATAGGGAATAATTACAATTAAATACGAAATGATACATATGGAAAATCTAGAAATATCTCTTATGCCCATAATAGTGATCACGTAAATCATGCTGCATATTTCTTCTTGGTAACGGCTATCTTCCATAATTATATTCGGACACATATTATGTGGAGGTATAAAATATGTGTCACGTAATACTCCCCTCAAGTTGGGTTGTGAAGGTCTCGATCGAACACCCAACTTGCTGCGTAGAAATAGGAAACGGTCAGCGCCAAGAGCTTTAGTAAAGATGTCGGCTACTTGAAGTTCAGTAGAAATTGGTTGGGGCTGGATTTCTCGACTGGTGACACGTTCTCGAACAAAATAACAATCCATTTCTACATGCTTGGTGCGCTCATGATAAACATGATTAAGAGCAATATGTCGAGCTGCCTGATTGTCGCAAAATAATGAAGTCGGCATGCGGAGAAAAATCCCAAAGTCCCGTAGTAGCCAACGTAACCAAATAATTTCACTAACAGCAACAGCCATGGCCCGGTATTCGGCTTCAGCTGACGATCGAGCCACCACGGTTTGCTTCTTAGTACGCCAGGAAATAGGTGATCCTCCTAAGGTAATAAAGTATCCAGAGCTGGAGCGCCGAGTGAAAGAGCACCCGGCCCAGTCGGCATCACAATAGCCAGTAAGATCAAACGTAGCAGCAGAAGAGAAAAAAATGCCCATTCCAGGAGAACCTTTTAAGTAACGAAGAATGCGGTGTGTCGTGTCCAAGTGAGTTTGACGGGGCTGAGAAAGGAATTGGCTTAATTGATTAACGGCGAAAACGATATTTGGGCGTGTCACCGTGAGGTACAGTAAGCGTCCAATTAATTAAACGCCTATACATGGAAGCGTCAACGAGAGGACTATCATCCTCAGATTGCAATTTAAGATTCTGTTCCATGGGAAATGGACTCGGCCGGCTACCTTGCATGCCACTTTCCTATAAGATGTCCAATGTATATTTGCGTTGACTGAGGACAAAACCGTCGGGAGAGTGTGCCACTTCGATCCCGAGAAAGTACTTGAGCGGACCGAGATCCTTAATTGTGAATTTATGATCAAGATATTTCTTTACGTGAGAGATGTGTGCTAGATTATTACCAGCAAGTATGACATCGTCAACATAAATTAGGGCAGCAGTATATGTATCACCACACTGATATATAAAAAGAGAATGATCAGCTCGTGACTGACGAAACCCGATAAGACAAAGGGCATGTGTGAATTTTTGGTACCAATTGCGTGATGCCTGCCGGAGCCCATATAAGGATTTTCTTAGCTTGCAGACGCGGGGATCCCCCGGTTTAGCAAATCCTTGCGGAATGCGCATGTAAACATCTTCATGGAGGTCGCCGTGTAAAAAGGCATTATGGACGTCGAGTTGATGAACGAACCAATTATTTTTTGCCGCAACTGCAAGAAGGCAACGAACGGTGACCAATTTGGCCACTGGTGCAAAAGTCTCGTGAAAATCCACTCCTTCAATTTGGGTAAACCCTTTTGCAACAAGCCGGGCTTTGTACCTCTCTACGTCACCATTGGGCTTATATTTAATTTTGTAAACCCATTTAGAGTCGACAATCTTCTTTCCGGGCGGTAAGGATACCAACTCCCACGTGCCATTGGCTTCAAGAGCCTGAATTTCCTTCTGCATGGCCTCTCGCCATAAAGGATCCCTAATAGCTTGAGAGAAATATTTTGGCTCATCATGGGATGTGATAGCCGCTAAAAATGCACGATGAGTTAAGGAAAACTTATCATATGTAAGAAATTGTGTAAGAGGGTGTACCGTCGAGTGAGCCGAGGGAGCGGTAGAATCAGAATAGGCCAAAGAGGGTGGCAATGTAATATCAAAACTGTCCAAATGTTTGGGACGGTGTCGAGCTCTATCACTCCTGCGGACATGGACGTTATCCACCTGTCCAGTGGGCCTCGTTTCATGAGTGTCATGATGGACTTCATTCGTAGGTGGCAATGACTCATGCGTGGAATCTTGAGGCTTGGAAGAATTTTGCATGCTTGGTGAAAGTGGGGTTTGCACCGTGGTAATGGGGGACCTAATTACAGGTCTGGAGTGGAGTGATATGTCAGGAGTATTGGTGGCACTCAATATATTATTTAATACCATACGCACATACGCACATTGGTATTAAAATCATCTGTATCAGCAATGGTCTTGAACGGAAATTTATCCTCAAAAAAGATTACGTCCTGAGAACTGTATACGGTTTGAGTATGCAAGTCAAAAACTCGATAAGCCTTTTGCCTATTAGGATATCCCACAAAAATGCACGGACTCCCCCTTTCGCCAAACTTATCCTTTCCTTTGTTGTTATGAGCATAAACAA